TTTTTTTGCGGGCGGGGGGGAGGGCAGGTCTGTCATCCTGTGCTAATCAGGCTTCTTGAAGTCTTGGCTTCAACTGTTATGTAATATTGTGTGCTATTAAATAGTGGCCACATTCTGTGCGGTTGGTGGCTTCATTGTTGAATGAAATGATTCCTGACTCACTAGTTTATATACCATTTACATTTCTAAAGCACGTTGGGATCCTCTGAGACGACAAAGCCTGCTATAGAACGAAGATGATTCATATTAAGCATATTATGGGGAAAATGCGTATGCAATAGCTGTGGAAAATTACAGTTTCCAAAGTCACCATTAGTAATAGATCTTTGCTGGTGCATTCTGTCGTCAGTCACAGAGAGAAACTGACTAGCAAGGTAAAAAATGTATAGCCCTCAATGAGTCAAAAGTCATGTGACCCAAAAATATATAGCATATGTAAATCCCCAGTAGCTGATTGTTTTCTTCTACTGGAGAGAGAGAGGAGTTTCGTCAGGTATCTGCCTTATGTCAAGAGCTAAAGAATAAAGATACTAGTAAGCATTTATCATTAGACTTTTTCTTTTTGGTATCAGGTGTAGTAGGATTTTGCCCTTTTCACAGTTCATTTGTTTTTTGTTTTGGGCATTAAGAAATAGAAAGAGAAAACAAACACTAACAAAAACTAACTTGCTGTCTTGAATACAAAGGACAAACTTACAAAGATAGCAACCCTGAGGCTGCCTGAGAATCCTGAATCTGCAGACAGAGGTAAATAACTTGATATATAATATTTATTATTCCAGTTATGGTGGCACGGTTGAAAGACCATAGTTAAGGTTGCATCAGATATTTTAGTTTAATGATGTATAGGATCTGGGAGAAAATGTTGTTTGAATGGGAAGCTATTGGATGTTTACTGTGAGAGGAAGGATGGTCTTATGGACTTTTCCCCAAGCCCTAGAAGTGGTTCATGTCCAGTCTGAGATCTGGCAAAAGTTTAGAGTCAGTTGCTTTATTCAAAACTGTCCTTACATTCCTATAGACAGAATGCGAAGAAGGGCTATACCAAACAGTAGGAGGATGCATTATTACTAACCAGGCCTGACAACTGAGAAACAGCTTGTTCCAGTGGGTAGGGCACAGGGCTGGGAGTTGGAAAACCTTGGTTATTTTTCAGGCTCTGCCACAAACTTCCCAGGTGATCTTGGGCAAGTCTCTTAATGGTTCTGCACCTCGGTTTGCTCATCTGTAAAATGGGGCTGATATCCCCTTACTTAACGGAGGTGTGAGAAGTGTATTAATATTTGTGGTAGACAAGGTGGCTGAGGTAATATATTTTATTAATATTGTTATATCTTCTAGACTTTGGACTACTAAAAGATATTACTTCACCTACCTTGTCTCTCTGATATGATTGTTAATATTTTTGGGGGCAGAAGCTAAGTACTGTGTAACTATTTTATTTATTTTAATTTTTTAAAATAAGTACTTGCAGGTGAGTGCCAGAATGGTAAATAGTCTCAGTCATTTAAATAAATAGTAATACAGAGGGTAAAAGCATGTCTTTGTCTTTAAATTGTTGTTCAAACTGTAATTAAGGGTATACAGTCAATTTGAAATCTAGTCAATTTCAAAAAGTTAGGCCTGGTTTACACTTAAAAGTTATACCAGTCAGTTAGCGGTGTTATTGTTTTTGTTTTGTTTAACTAACTTAAGGGAACCAACATAATGTTATAACTGTGCTTATACTAGTATACGTTATGTCTGTTCCCCAAACAAACTTAATCTATACCAGTATAAATATTTCTATATTGGTAGAACTGCTTCCACGTCTTGAGGGTTTTGCTGATTTAACTGTACTGGCAAAACCCTTAGTGTTAGGTGCTGCACCTGCTCTGGGGTATCCCTGCTAATTTTTGTAGTTTTACAGTCACACGTCACTGTTCTTTAAAAAATATTTTTCTCATCCATCTTTCTGTGCAAAAGATCCTCACAAACAAAAGAAAATGACTGCCTACACATAGGAAACAATAAAATTGACTAAGCACAAAGTGGTGTCATGCCCAGAGTAAACAAACTAGAAAAACCGATAAATACGTTGGTGTTTTTTCTCTCTTCAAACCTTTCAGGTATAAATCTAATGTATTAGATATAACAATAGTAAATAAAAAATTTCTTGAGATAATTCTTTCTAAGCCTCACAGTACTCTTGTGAAGTAGAGAAATATCACCAATTTATAGGTGGAGAAACGGAGACAAAATGTTTTGGCAACTTGTTCAAGTCACACAGCAAATCGGTGGCATAGCTAGCTAGAAGACATTGCTCCTAGTTTTCAGCCTTGTGATTGGTCTGCTGGCTAACCCTCCCTATATTTACTGGATTTTCTTGTTTATTTTGGCCTCGGCCCCAAAAGTAGCTGACTTGAAGTTGTTGTAATGGAGATACTGTGATGTGTGTGTAGGATTATAATCCTGCTAGGACAAACGGTTACAATTCCAAACATACATCTTGCAAACATCTGCTATGGGCTGGATTCCAGTGCCCTTACTCACATTGTTTTCAGTGCGGCTACCTGTGGAGTAAGGTACTAAACTTGAGTGTGTCAGAATCTGGCCCTGTGTGAGTAGTCCTTATGCAAATAGGCCCATTGATATAAATATGATTAGTAGTGTGAGTAACCAAGGTTAGATCCACAGGTAGGAATGTCCATGCCAGGGGTGTATATGAATGTACAGTATGTGCTTAGATATAGATACAAGATTTGGTGACTAGTTGTAGCATGCGGGCCATAGGAGAATCAGACTGATGATATTCAAAGCAAGAAGATGGTTAACTTTTTGTCTCATATTAGAATTCCTGAAAATTCTCACAAAGGGAAGCAAATCACAGTTGAAATCAAACCAGTCATTAGTGTCACAGCATAAATTGCTGTCTAGATTAATCTGATTTTGGAGGCTACCCAGTGTAAATAACCGAACCTTTCATTGCTTACAGCAAATAAAGTACCATAGTACCTTAAGCCTATGTTGCAACCCGGAGGATCTGTAATTTTTGTTATGATACATCAGACTTCAATAAGATAATTAATACATGAGCCTTTAAATCGCTATTATTCAGTCCCTGCTCGCAAGAAGTAATATAAGTAAGGAACACAATGTGGCTGTTATAGAACTTGTGGAATGTACAAACTCATACCATTTGAGCATTAAAATTCTGGGGGAATGAAAGAAATTTAAAGAGGAACAAGGTGGATCACAGGACAAAATAAAGCAGCAGAGGACTACAGGAGCAGGAGATGGTCCAAGTGGATTTTTAGAAGCTGTGTTCTTCTCTCCCTCTCTCCTTTTCCTCCAAACACGTGTGCACTAAAGTTACGATTCCAACGTGGAGTTTTTGACATGAACAAACCATTCTTCAGGGACACGATTTAATCCGAGTCCCTGGCTGGACTTACAGATAGCACCATAAAATTGATGATGATTCTTGCTATTCTGACATCATAAATTGCCGGTGAAGTTTGGGTAGTCACTGGACCCACAGGTCAAGTGATATTACCGTAGTCCCAAATTCTGCAGTTAAAACGTTTTGTGCTACTCCTCACGTATTGGAACATTGTTGGGTCCCCTCGTGTCTCCTCCTCGTAGCCTCTTCCCACACCTCTGCCCCTTAGTGTTGCCTGCCTTTTAGTCCATAGGCGTGTTCAGGAGGCAAAGCTGCTACAGCAACTACATTCTGTCACATTTTGTTTAACAGCTTTGCCTCCCAGTCCTGAGCTCTTTGAGGGCCAGAGTGGCATCTTTTCAACTCGGTGTGCTTGGCTTTTGTATTCCAGCAGGATAAATTTAAGTGTGGATTATTATAATTTTATTATTGCATAGAATAAATTGTAGGCATCATAATGACGGTTGTATTAGTCTCTTGGTCCTCTCCGGTTTCATGGAGAACATAAAAGCGCTGGAAAAAATCACTTTCTGCCAGTTATTTACTGACCAGATTCAGAGAAAAGCCTGACAGGTGTAGATGTGATCAAGGTCAAGTCATTCCTTTTATGCTCATGACAAGCAAGTGTGTTGTGTAATGGGTGTCAGGTTCTAGAACCTTGTGCAAAGATGCAGAGCTGTTTAGATGACTCATCCTGGCAGTCAGACCAGGTGGCTCCTGTTCTCTCTAACTCAGTTTATAAAAGGTTTAGGTTAAATGTCCCTGTAGGCTAAGGCAGGAGTGGGCAAACTTTTTGGCCCGAAGGCCACATCCGGGTATGGAAATTGTATGGCGGGCCATGAATGCTCACGGAATTGGGGGTGAGGGCTGTGGCTGGGGGTATGGGCTCCAGAGTGGGGCCAGGAACGAGGAGTTCAGGGTGTGGGAGGGGGCTCCAGGCTGGGGCAGGGGGCTGAGGTGAGGGCTCTGGCTGGAGGTGCGAGCTCTGGGGTAGGGCTGGGGATGAGGGATTTGGGGTGTAAGAGGGTGCTCCAGGCTAGGACCGAGGGGTTCAGAGGGCGGGAGGGGGATCAGGGCTGGGGCAGGGGGTTGAGGCACGGGGGGGTGGGTGGGTGAGGGCTCTGGGGTGGGGCCAGAAATGAGGAGTTCAGGGTACGGGAGGGTGCTGCAGGCTGGGGCAGGGGGTTGCAGTTTGGGGGGAGGTGACGGCTGGGATCCCGGGGTTCGGAGGGTGGGAGGGGGACCAGGACTCGGGGCAGGGGGTTGGGGCATGGGAGGGGTTCAAGAGTGCAGGCTCTGGGTGGCTCTTACCTCAAGCAGCTCCCAGAAGCAGCGGCATGTCCCCTCTCCGGCTCCTATGCGGAGGCGCAGCCAGGCGGCTCTGAGCGCTGCCCAGCCCACAGGCACCGCCCCTGCAGCTCCCATAGGCTGCAGTTCCCGGCCAAGGGGAGCTGCAGGGGCAGCACTTGGGGCAGGGGCAGCATTCGGAGCCCCCTGGCTGCCCCTAAATGTAGGAGCTGGCAGGAGGAGGGGGCATGCCGCTGCTTCTGGGAGCTGCGCGGAGCGGGGCAAGCCCCAGACCCCACTTCCCAGCAGGAGCTCAAGGGCTGGATTAAATCAGCTGGTGGGCCGGATGTGACCCACTGGCTGTAGTTTGCTCATCTCTGGGCTAAGGGAACTAGGGACATAGGGGTCTCATAGGAACAGTTGAGCTCCGGATGTTTAAGTCAACAATAAAGGAAACTCCAGGCATGGCATGAGTTTGGCTCCTATGCAGCACATGTGTATTGTGGTAGGAGCAAGCTGGTAGGGCCACTTGCTTATGTTTGCCCAAAGACGTTTTTTAAAGAGCTATACAATGTTCATGCTAAACAGTGAAGAATTCTATAATGTTTAGAGGGTGCATTGGTATCTTTTGGTAAATCAAACAAGTTGTCTCTTGTGCTTAGAATAATAGAAATCATTTCTGCTTCTCTTAACCTTTGAATGCCCCTGGGTAGCACTTTGAGACATGGCGAATAGGCAGCTAATGCCTTATGTGGTATTTACAATAATTTATTCACTTATGTGTATGGAAAGGGACGTACAAATGAAAGCCTGGGCTGTTTTTACAAGATAGGATTTTTCACTAACTATACTCTATTTTGGTACATGTTTAAAAAAATGTGCTGAATAAAGCATGTATATAAATGTATTTTATTTATAAAGCACCACCCCAACCACAGCACTACAGATTATCAAAATACAACCATATACTAGTGATTCAAATATCATAAATACACAAAAGTATTTCAGTGAAACGTGATCATTTGGGAACGGGGAGGAGAGGCTGGGGAAGGCTTGGGGGGGAGGGATAGATCAGTGGTTTGAGCATTGGCCTGCTAAACCCAGGGTTTTGAGTTCAATCCTTGAGGGGGCCACTTGGGGATCTGGGGCAAAATCAGTACTTGGTCCTGCTAGTGAAGGCAGGGGGCTGGACTTGATGACCTTTCAAGGTCCCTTCCAATTCTAGGAGATAGGATATCTTCATTAATTATTATTATTATTATTATTATTATTAAGGCTGGAGTTGCTGTCAGA